GACCATGTAGTGCTCTGTCTCTAGACATTTTGTGACAGCACAAATTCGAAAACACTCCTCGCCGTCAAGAGATTGGGTTCTAATTGCCAGTTGAAGTTAATTAATTTAGAATCAGTTCTTCAAAACAGGTTCTGAGAAAATGGGCAATGAAAAGAAATTTACTTTCTGAGATGAGACGTGTATGGAGGTCTGCAGAAAAATCTATTAACTTGTAAAAACCAAAAACAAGGAGAAAAACTAAATTAAACTAAACTAAACTAAACTAAAATAGAAAGAGAAAAAGCAATTGTGTGAGAGAGGTGATGTATATATATACACATATATACTTGTACATATATACATATATATAATGATTACTGGAAGGCCTTTAGGAAGGGCCATAGTCATGTTCTATTATTTCTCTTTTGACTTATTACTCATTCTCAGATTTTCTTTGAATTCAAGTCCGAATATTGTATACAGTTAGTCCTCAACTTATGACCAGTTGTTTAATGATTATTTAGAGTTACAGTGGACTCAAAAAAGATACTTATGACCCATCTGAGGAGTTACAACTGCTGCACCAGCCCTGTAGTAACGTGATCTTGTTTCGGATGCTTGGCAAACAGTTCACACTTACAACCAGTTGCAGGATCATGTGATCACATTTTGCAATGTTTTTCGCTGTTTTTTGCAAACAAAAAAACCATTAGATAAGCTAGATTCAGACATATGACATGTGATTTGCTTAACAATCAAATCGTTGGACAATCAACTCAGTCAACAACCATTGTAAAAACAGTTGTAAAATTGAGTCTGTCACATGATAATGTAACAATGATTGCAACAACCTACTGTATCACCAAAATTCCAGGCTCAATTGTGGTTGTAAGTCAAGGCAGGAGTAGGCAACCTTGGCTCTTTTATGACTCGTGGACTTCAACTCCCAGAATTGCTGGCTCAGGAATTCTGGGAGTTGAAGTCCACGAGTCATAAAAGAGCCAAGGTTGCCTACCCCTGGATTAGGTTATTCATCTCAATATGTAGCAACTTATATTTATCTATTAAAGAAAGCATACACACAAATGTTTATCCAAAGAAGAATTGCAAGCCTTCTTTTAAATAATTGGGATTGGATAGAATCAATTCTCTTTTCTATGTCACTGAATTTGGATTCTTTAGCATCTTGCAGTGTTAGTTTTAAATGCTGGGTATATGTGGCCCTTGAAGTATGAAAGAAAAACTCTGCTCTGACAAACACTACTTCCTTCCGTTCTTGTGCTGACTTTTGAGGTGTAAGCACATTCTGGCAATACATTCAAAGTGCAGCTAAGACTTCAGTCTACATAAACATGTAGCCCTGTAGATTGTCTTGCCAACTCATAAGTTTACAATCTTCTCATTCTAGGGTTTGAAAGCTGCCTCCCTGTTTTTCCCAGGAGGGAATGCCACCTACCAAGGAGAAGAAGTGAAAGTTAAGAGGGTGGAGAAACTCCTCCACAAGTATGACAATGAGACTGAGTGGAGGCAGAATGTTGACACAGTCATGAAGTGGTTCCGTGAGGATGATCTTGACTTTGTGACCCTTTACTTTGGGGAACCCGACTCTACTGGACACAAATATGGCCCAGAATCTCAGCAGAGGAAAGATATGGTCCGCCAGGTTGATCGGACAGTGGGCTACTTGAGACAGCGCATTGCAGAGCATGGCATGAAGTCAATACTTAACTTAGTCATCACCTCTGACCATGGCATGGAAACGGTCATCAAAAAGGATGAAATTCACCTCCTCCGAGTAGCAAACTTCTCATTCCAGGACATTGAGTTTGAGCTGGTTGATTATGGGCCACATGGCCTCCTGTTGCCAAAGCCTGGGAAATTAGAACAAGTTTATGAAGCCTTGAAAAATTCTCACCCCAAGCTCCATGTTTACAAGAAAGAGGAATTCCCCAGAAGATTCCATTATGCCAATCATATTCGTGTCACACCGCTTGTGTTGTATAGTGACCCTGGCTACGTGATCCATGGGGTACAGTTTTCTGTCAACTGTATATTGTTAATGTCAAGCTCTTTACTGCCCTGTACTTATGTGGCTTTCCATTTCATAGTTGGTAGACATAAAGAAGCTTCTTAAGAAGGACAAAGGCGAAGGGTCACATAAAATACCAGTCCAAGGCATTTTGCTTTGAATTATCGCATATGGATTCCTTTATTCTGCAGCATTTTTCGCAAAGCAGTCTCTGCCATCTTGGATGGTGCTAGCCAAAGCATGCAGCTTTGCTGTGTGACATAATACAGACAATCCTATATATATTTGTCACAGTCTATGTCAGCCTTTCCAAAACATCTATCATTCAAATGCCTTGGAATGTGTCAGAATTCCCAATGGCCAAGGCTATTTAGGAATTCTGTGTGTTATATAATAATTTATTATTATTATTTTATTTATTGAATTTATATACCACCCTATCTCCCTTACGGGACTCAGGGCGGTGAACAGGCGATAATAAAAACCACGATAAATATACACAAATTTCTGTTCTAAAATCAAATTAAATAACAGGCCTGCTCTAAAAATACCCCATACAAAACCCCCACTAAAACATAATCAAACTACGCCAGGCTGGCCGCACGGAATAGATGGGCCTTCAGGGCTCGGCGAAAAAGGCGCAGGTCCGCAACTGTACGTAGGTCGGGGGGTAGGTCATTCCAGAGGGCAGGAGCTGCCACAGAGAAGGCTCTCCCCCTGGGGAGATTTGGAAAGCATTTGCTGGGAAACATTTTATGCAGAAAGTGACTTTGAGAAACAATTTGAAATAGATTTTGCCTCTATATTTCTAGTTGCAACCATTTTTCTCTTTATTTGAAAACCATTCAGAACATCCTACTAACCTATATCAAATGTATTTCTGAAGAAACATACATAGGTTTGTCTTGCTAATCATTATTGTAGTGCTCAAGGAATCCTACTGAATCCAGTCATCACAAGTTCTGGGATCATAAGTCTCAGGATTTATATTTTCCTCTGAGCACTGCTATTTTGAAATGATGGATTCCTACAATATGGCCAAGCAGGCTAGTGACTTTCTTTCCTCTGAAAAATAACTTGAACAGCAGAAATTTTCTAACAAAGATGTTCCTGCCAGATGTAGTAAATCAAATGTCCCCCAGTGAGAAGTTTAGGAGATGGAACAGAAACAGCTCTGGACCCACTAAATCCAGAACTACGGTATTCCATTTTTCAATCAGAATCTGTCAATTAAACCAGAGTAGAGCTGGCATAGCTAATTTCAATCCACTTGCTCATTTGCTTTCCAATAAGTTAAAAAGCTCAGCAAAACCATCTCTCCAGTTCTGCGCTGACTAGCGCAAGCAACAGTAGAGTTGCCAATCTTGTCTCTCTCTCTCTCATCTGCCAGGGAAGTGGATTGTGCAACTAAAGAAAATGAAAGTATCAACAGTTCCTAGTTAGCGTGAATTATCTACTTAGCTGCAAATAGATCCCTTTTTTATTATTATTACAGTCTATGTGCATCTTTGTTCAAGAAATAAGAATGTCAAAATAGGAAAAGTCTGCTTAAATCGATTGCACAAAGAGGTTACCGTAACCATGCTCTTTTTATTTATTAATTTACTACCATATTTCTATCCGTATTTTTAATCTAATTGTTTTTGGGAAGATTTTATTAATTACAGATAAAAGCTGAGTGGCAGGTAATCACTGAAAAAAAATCCTGTTCTTCTTTTTCAGAGAGTGAAAGTGCAGTTCAATAAAGGGGAACACGGCTTTGACAACGAGTCTATGAATATGAAGACCATCTTCCGAGCTGTGGGACCAGCTTTCAAGCAAGGCCTGGAGGTGGAGCCTTTTGAAAGTGTGAATATTTATGCCCTCCTTTGCAAACTCCTGAATATCACACCTGAACCACATGATGGATCCTTGGAAGTCACCCGGCACATGCTTGTCAAAGACTCAGGTCTGTTTTCTTGTGGTTAGCTAACACTGCAATCCACCAATTATTCAACTAACTGATTCAGTCCAAAAAGATTAATTACATATCCGTCAAAGAGACAGGGTTCTAAATTGTCAATGATATATCTTAATAGTCCCTTATGGAGACTGAGGATCCCTAAAGAGTTTGCTCTTTTCTGATCAGGGATAAACTCTTTTATTTAAGCAGCAACCATTTTCACAGTCTTTATAAATTGTACAGTGATGATATCAAACCCCAAAGGATTTGTTTCTTTAACTTATCTGACAAGAAGTTCTAAGGTAAAAAAAGAGTAGCTTTCAAATATTTTCCTCCTTGATTTCATTGGCTTACCTAGCCCACCTACCGTGTTTCCCCAAAAGTAAGGCCTACACCAACAATAAGCCCTAGCTTGATTTTGGGGGGTGGGCCTAATATAAGCCCTATCCCAAAAATAAGCCATAGTTTTGGGGCAAGGCACACACCTAAAAATCAAGGTGGGGTGGGGGGTGAAGCTGCCCCACCTGCCCCACATCCATTTATCTTGCAGCCAGGCCTCTCCTTGCCAGCCACTTCTTTTCTGAGGCCTCTTCTGCAGCCAGGCCTGCATTTCTCAGTCACAAGGCTTTCCGGAAGGCCTGTGCAGCCAAGAACCAAGCTATGGATTCAAGCCATAGCTCGGTTCTGCAAGACCTCAGCAGCCAAGCACCAAGCTATTGAATCCATAGCTCAGTACTCAGCTGCTTAGGCCTTCTGGAAAGGCCTGACTGCAAAATGCAGGACCGAATGCAGCTGCAGAACTTAGGCCCCAGAAGAAGTGGACCGGCTGGGTGGGGCTGTCGGTGCCGGAGGTGAGGTAAGGCCTACCCCAAAAATAAGACCTGGTGCCTCTTTTCAGGGAAACACAGTATCACCCCTTTCAGTTTATTCCGGCATCAGCAAAGTCAAGAATGGGAAGGAAAGGGAAATACAGTAAATCTTTGCCAAATTCACAAGGTAGCACTAGGAGAGACCAGGGGAATGTCTCTGATTATTCAGTATTTTATTGTTATGATGGAACCATTAACTGTCCTCTAACCCACTTAAGGCACTGATCGGAACTTGATGCATGATAGAAAGAAGTGTTTCCTTGCAATTGCTAGGCTATGTGAAAACTGTTTGTGGACTTACAAAGAAAGGAATACTAATGTAGTACAAAACATATATGAATTTCTATGAAAATCAATTGGATCAGATTCACATTTTCACACTCTCCACCCATCTTATCACTACTTTGTGTATGTTCCAGGATGAAGGACAAGAGAGTGACAGGTTTTTCAAGTGCAATAAATATATACAGTTCCTTCTCAATTTCTAAATTCAGGAAGTAAAGTCCTGTTTACAGTCAGCTTAATTCTTCCATAATTTCAGATGCTAGATATGTTTTCAAAGCATACTTTAAACAAGCCAGAGTTCCAATTTCCCCTGAAGAAGTATGAAGGAGCAAGAAATTGGAGCATAGCAGCATACCATAACTGTAGGAAGAAAACATAATTCCAACTATGGACTTTTGTTTTCCAAATTATTATCATGCCAGTATGCCAAGCTAAGTTTGGAGTTCACAACTAATGAGCTCCTCTGCTCGCTGCCAATAAAATGCACCTTTGATCTGAAACCAATTTCTCATATTTTATTCAAGCCATCACTTACCCTTTTGCTTGTAGGTGATCTCTTACACAAATACCAGTAAAAATTTGACAGCTTCTTACCTTTCATTATATCTCATGGGCAACCCCCAAATCTACCTTCCCACATTCCTGGAGCAGGTCAGTCTTTCCTTATGGGCCATCAGATTCATCACAATTGCTCTCCATTGAGAGATGGGTGACCAGGAAGATAGAATATCAAATTTCATGACCTGTCAGAGCCTCAGGAAAAAAAAGACTATAGGGGTGGGGGGTGTGAGAGAGAAAAAGTGTTATATGCTCCAGCTGTAGCAGAGAGCCCCCTGCTGGCCACATCTTGACAACCAACCTAGGTGTTGTCCAATTAGAATATGATGCTTGTTAGAGTGAAGACAGAACTGCATAATTGGGTCTGGAAATGATAGCACATATTTGAGAGTTCCTCTATCAATACTAATTAATTAATTACTATTCAATATGCAGCTAGTGCTGGAAAAAAAAGAGTAACAACCTTGGAGAGAAACATCCTTTATTTCCTTGTGTATAAAACCATCAATAATAAATCCATTTGGTGCATCGGTTCAAATTTACAGAACCAGTATGGAAATACCATAACCTGGTCTTTAAGTGTACACTGTACCACATGCCTGCCAAACATGTCAGCCTCAGATGTAGCTCTTCCCAGGGGCACCAGAGTAGAGCTGGTTTGGTGCAGAGGCAAAAACTGGGCTAAATTTGAGCCCATTAGTTTGGAGGAAGTAGATAGGATCTTGGGACTGTAAGCTCAGCCAACTCTGTGTGTTAAGCTTCCTGGGAGATGACATGTGGTTGGCTCTGGGTGGTGGTGAATGTGCCTTTGATGGAGGAGATCATCGTTCCCTCCTCAAGAATCCGTTGCTAGACCCAACCATTTTGGATCATTTTTGTCCTTCTCCATCATTCCCATTTTAAGGTTTTTTTTCCAACAGCTATAGAGGGCCTTGGAGAAAGCAGGTGCTCTGTGTCCCTTTCAGTTGGATTTCAGGCCTGGGTATGGGACCAAAGCAGTAACAATCATGCTTGTGGGTTACCTTTAGAGAGAGAGAGAGTTTGGGGTAATGCTTTCATCCTTACTCTCTTTGATATCTCAACTCTTTCAGTATCATTGATCATGGTATCCTCCTGATCCTGCTCTACAGATTAAGCTCCTCCTTCCTCTGAAATTGGTATTGGAGATGGGGAGAGATTAGTTCCATATACCCTTTTCTGTGGGGTGACTCAGGGCTTGACATTCTCCCCATTGCTATTTAACATCTACATGAGGCCATTGGGCAAGTTCATTTGACAGCATGTACTGAGCATGTATAATATGCTAATGATACTCAGTTGTATACCTTCACCTTAAGCTAATCAACTGATGTGAGGAGGTTTTGCTTTGATGCCTGGAGGCTGTAAGAGCCTGGATTGGGATGAAAGGCCTTTGGCTTAATCGCAGCAAGGCTGAGTGGTTTGATGCTTTAGATCCACCTGTGTTCAGTGATTTTCTACCTGTAGTGAGATTATATTACACCAGATAGAATTGGTGTGCAACTGGTAAGTTCTCCTGGATCTATGACCCTGTTTGGGAAGCAAGTAGAGTCATAATCAGGAGGTCTTTCGCACGTGAGTTGTGTGGTAGTTGTGCATTTTCCTGGACCAGGAAGTGCTGTGACAATACTATACAATGGTCACTTATGCTTTGGTCATTCCCAAATGGATTAATGTAATGTGCTATAAATGAATCCACTCTTGAAGGACATTCAGAAGCTGAATCGATCTAGCACAGACATGTCAAACTCGCAATGTCACGTGACATCGCGCGATGTATCGGAGCTTTTTTGCCATTGCCGGCAATGGGTGGGCGCGGCTCCGGTATGATGAAAACGGCCCGCGGGCCAGCAGTTTGACACCCCTGATCTAGCATGTGGCAGCACAAGCCATTATGAGTTTAACTTAATGTAGCCAGGTTACATCTTTGCTTAGCAAACAGCACTGACTTCCAATATGCTTCCAGATGCAATTCAGGATGCTGGTTATTATCTATAAACTCCTTCATGATTTGAGGCTGGAGGGATCATCTTTCTCCAATCCCATCAATAAAGTAGGAGGGCTGTGCTGCAGGTCCTGTCATACAGTGGAACGCAGGAAACATGCCTCTTCTATCCCAATCCAGGCCTTTGGAGCAACACACCACCCGAAGTTAGCTTGGTCCAAGCCTGATGATCTTTCAGAGAGCCTTTAAGGCTTTAACTGGGTTATTTTCCCTACATGGAGGTCAGGAAAGCAGTTGAGCTCATATTTGTTGGATGCAGTTTCCTTGGTGACATTTTTATATTTTTATTCTTATTGATTGTACTGTTTTTATTTTTTATTGGTCACCCAGAATCACACACACACACACACATATATAGAGAGAGAGATAAAGAGAGAGAGAGAGAGAGAGAGAGAGAGAGAGAGAGAGAGAGAGAGAGAGAGAGAGAGAGAGAGAGAGAGAGAGAGAGAGATACATACATATACATACATACATACATACATACATACATACATACAAACAGTTTAGCTATGCTTAGACATATTGCTTAGACATACATTATTTGCCCCAGGCCAGTCTCAACTGCACTGGCTGTCTGGTAAATGTCCATGGCCTCTTGGAAGCAATTTCAATTATCTCAGCAGTGAAAAATATGTCACTGTTCTTCTGGAAGTTATGGGTAGGCATTGAGGTCTCATCTATATCCACCGAGTCATGTATTAAACACTTTATATGAATGTCTCCCGGGAACTGTCAGGTTCAGCTATACCGTACAAGCAAATGATACTTGTCCTTTAACATAGGAAACGATAAAAACTTATTATTTCCATTCCTAATGAATCACTGAAGTAAAAATACAGCATCCAACCTAATCTTCTATACAACCATTTTCTAAAATTAAATTGACCCTACAACTTCAGTTTAGCATTAGAAAAAGGATCAAAATACACTTTTCAAGAAATACCACACTGCATTCATATTTGACTTGGTGCGGTAGTGAAAATAGTTAGATCTATTCTATTATATTTCAAACTCCCAACAGACCAATTAAGCAAAGATAACAATGTCTGAACATTCCAAAAGAGCCCAGGAAGAAGAATTTATATTGAGTGAAGCCATCCAAAAGTTGGTGCAATTCAGAAGGTTTGCTTATTGGTATCGTTTAAGATTTGGAAAAATCAACCCCATCCCCCTTACCTAGGGGCTGATTTTTTTCCCAATGATAACCTTTTGCTGTGGATGCAAAAGGTGGAGTGTAGCTCTGAGAAGGAAGATCACTTTTTTAAAAAAAC